GTCCCTGGAGGCTGCTGCAGCACCCCTGTCTGTTTGCCAGGAAGGCTGGTGCAGGCAGGCTCAATCCCCCCTTACCCAACAGGCGAATGTCTGTGGGTCAGGGGTAGTGGGGGGAAGCAGGGAGAGTGCTCTAACTCATGGCGCTTTATGTAAAACACCGTGACTTAGAGCAGGGCCTGAACTTCTGTCTGAGCCCTGCTGCCTTATTGTAGCTTCTTTGCTGAACCAGAGCCCTTTCAGCACTGGGGATGCTTTTAGACTACTATTATTTGAATGCTCTTGTGATTCTACTTGCTTCTTTTTCTAGCACTCTGCCTCTCAAAATAGCAGATATAGAGATAGTTATTATGCTGTTGCTTTTGTACAGTTTAATCGAATAGCTTTTCTTTGGCAGGTGCAAGGCAAAACTGTAGCTTTTAACTTCTTCATGTCACTGGTAAGCATTAGCAACTTGAATATCATGGCTCTAATCACATCTAGCCAAATTATGGATTCATTTACACTGGTGAGAATCAGGAAGAATTCTGAAAAAAGGCAGTAGTTTTGCTCTAGATTCAACCAGGCAACATTAGAAGACTTATTTTGCACCTTGATATATTCCATTTTAACTACCACAAGGTCAACAGAAGCAGAAAACCAAACCAGAACACTAAGGCAGTTCCTGTTTCATTTGGCTTCCTAGGCTGAAGTTTTAAAAAGATCTCTAGCAATGGCCCCTTAGAGTTGTCTTACAAAGTTGTCCACAAAGTTAGAACTTCCTTGCATAACATTTCTTGCTTTGACTGGGAGAAGGTACAGTCTTCAGCATGCGAACCAAGGATGGGTGGATTGAATCTAATAAATAAAAGCTGAAATTATCTTGGTCAAAAATTTAAAACTACCATTTAAATGTTCAGATGAATAATAACTAACAATAATATGGTTGCTCTACCCCCCATTTTTACATTCCTTTGCATCTCCAGGACCAGAAAAATAGAATATTGTAGAAAATTAAAAGGGTAGATCTGCTCAGAACAGAAACAAGAAGCAATCAAAATCACTTGAGAAAACCTGTGGTCCCTTGTGACATATTTAGGGGGCTTGGAGGTTTGCATGGTCACCCAGACTTCTCAATGTTACTTCCTACACAAATTGAAACTCAAACCCTTTTAAAGGAAATCCATTGCTAATTTGAATGCGATCACTCAATCATCCATAATAGTTTTTAACATTTTGGCCACAAGATAAATGCCCTTTTTCTACCTCAGTGATTGGTGTGAGGGTTCCACAGATCTGGTGACCATTTGGTATTACCCATCATTTTTTGATCAGTTAAATTAGTTAATGAAGCATAAAATTCATGTCTGACACATAAACGTATGCAAACTTGCCTTATTTTTGCTCTTATTACGCAATCTTCTTTGCAAAGAGCAAATGCAATACAATAGCATCAGAAATACATTAAATCTATACAATTTCCACATTTGCACTGCATAAGCTATAATTTTAGTTTGCTTACTGATTTCTGCATTTTACTCACTCATAGTACATTTAAGAAAGATGGGAACCCCACTCCCCATCCTGAGTACAGACAAGACCAAATTATGAAGCTTGGATCCAAACTTTTTCCAGGTTCTGAAGTATTTGGGTCCTGGATTCTGGTTCTGGCTTATAGCTACTCCTGTATGCACCCCTGTGTATTAGACATCAAACCTGTATGCACCCCTGCGTATTAGACATCAAACAACACCCCTGCGTATTAGACATCAAACAACACCCCTGTGTATTAGACATCAAAAGTCAAAAACAGAAAAGCAACATAATTCATTTTTAAACAGCCAAAAGCCCCTAAAAAAAGAAGAATCTCCATATCTTTGAATGAAAACTGAAGTGTTACCTGTCCCATCCATGATCTCTGTGGTTGGGAGCACCTCATATGTACAGGGTTCCCCAGATGCTGAGCCTGATTCCAATTCTGCTAGGGATGATAGTGAAGCTTGGCTGGAGCCCATAGCTTGTCCAGAGCCTAGAGCCTGCCCATTCTCCAAAGCTCCTTCTTCATTTGGTATGGAAAGTTCTCCATCTGGTTTTGTTTGGAAGAAAGCACAGTGATATCAGAAAGTGGATAAGTAAAATATTGCAAGAATTTAAATAGAATAATGTCTCTAGTTCTCTGGTATTAGGTTATTCCTGGCCCAGGAACCTGAACTGAGACCACAGATTTGGACAGAAAACACAGTGAAAGCATTCATTTAGGTGTGACCAAACAGATTTCTAGAAGTCTGCTTACTGTGCCTCACATTTTTTCTTGATTTTCCCTTTCCACATAATCATATTATTTATATCACAGTATTACAACTTGAAAACATTGGTGATAAAACAAGACAGAGGCGTAGCAAGCAAACTGAGCACAGGGGAATTATTTTGTTTGCTCCACTTAGCCTCCTGCCCCCAGATACACTACATGGTGCACAGCTGTGCTGTCTGGCTCCTGTGTCTGAACAGTGGCAGCACAGGGCTTCTCCCTCATTGTAAAGGATTGGGGGGATGGGGGAGGAAGGGAGAGGAGACCTGTCAGAATCCCTACCACCAGGAGTCTTTGAAGAGGAAACCCTGTACTACTCATACCGGGCCACAGGACCTGGGTAATGCAAGGTTGCAATGTCTTGTCACAACAAGATGACATGCTGTGTTACAATCTGATGGTCTTTCACTTGCTTCAAGAGTAGACTTGAGAGCACCCCACAAAAAAATTCTAGGTCACAAAAGAACTCCCTGGAAAATTTTGATGATCCTTGGACAAAAGACCAAATTTGACTGAGTCCTACTGCCCCTTTATATCGTCACAAAACTTGCATTGCAGTCCTGCCAAACTTATAAAGTAGATGTGGAGAATATGCTTTAACTAAATCTATGGAGCTTTTACATTATTTTGTTCCTTTGAACTAGTTTTTATGCCATAGGAGATATAAATAGCATCACAGGTTTGCCCCTATTTCACACACCACTAAAGCCATTAAAGCTCCCAGCATGACTGAGAGTTTAAATAAAGTGAGGGGCCAACTCTCATAGGCAGCTGCTATAAGGACTTACTATTGGCATGTAACAAATTCCCGTTAGAAAGTTCATCCGTGAAATTCTTAAAACCTCTCATTTATCTGAACCAGTTTCTATATCAGCAACTGATCTCTTCTTCCCATCAAATACTGTAGGGGCTCAAAATGGTTAGAAACGGGAGAGAGTTGGTCTCATTTTCACTGACCACGTTTACGCATTCATTAATACACAGTACTTACTGCACATTTAATTTAGTACTTGTTTAATGAAGTACTTTTTCGTGATGTTACTGCACAGAAGCCTAATAATACTGCACAGTAGTATATTAGCACTGTCCGTGCTGTGACACACTCCTGCACAGTGTTATTAGGTTACTGCACATTAAGCGTCTTGTGTAGACAACGTGCCCACTGTTGTCTACATCTGTGGTTTTATTGCAAGTCTCATGATATATACATTAGCATTTTCTTAAACAGCCCAGGTGCTGGAAGTGATTACATAAAAATAGTTACCATATTTTAAGAAAGGCAAATTTATGCAAATGTCGGTAAAAAGCTTGACAATATAACCAGAAAGTGACTTGTAAGTTCAGAAAAGAGAAGGCAGAGAAAAACAACCTACTATTTATTATGTATTTAAATCTTGCAATTTTTTTAACATTGGGGGTTGACAACACAACATTTCAGTGCACCAAACAGAAATGTATATTACTAAAGGAGAAGACTCACCTATCACAAAAATGCATTCCAATCTCACAATGTGCTTGGTTTTTAAAACAATTATTGAGAGATGGAAAATATAAGACAATCAGTCCAACCATAAGACATTGATAATATGCCTAACTGCAGTGCAGCTAAAAGTATGTTTGCAAGTTTAAGGTTCAGTACTTGAAGATGGTTTTCAGGTATCTTGGATGTATTAGGCTCATTAAGGTCTTGACTTTGTTTTGCAGCAGGAATTTTGGAGGGCCTGAGAAGTGATATACAGATGTTATAATAGGCTGAAGCCTAAACTATGCTCAGCTGAGTTGGAAAATTGAGGTAATAGTAATGAAAGCTAGTGGTTTTAGCTGACTGCTAATTTTATGGCCCTATTTTGATCTTACTTGCCCTGATATTAAAAGGCTGTAATTCTATTGCCTTCAGCAGTGTTAATCTTACCCTCAAAGAGTATGAGATCACAGTCAGGGTTGGACAGCTAGAAAATATAACTATAACTTCTATACCTAGAGGGCTAGGAACAGAGATTCAAAAAGCCTGAGCCTGAATTGATTTAATGTTTGCAGGTTTTTTTAAGCTGGCTAGGCTAAATCCATTTTGTAACTGGACAGACACTCCAGAAATGCAGGCACATGCCTACAGTGACTCAGGCTAAAAATGGGGAGCCGCTAGAGCAGCCCTCCCTTTCTTCCACAGCGTGGAGCTGAGGGGGGGCATAGCCCGGCTCTGGCAGGATGCTGTGATTAGCCCAACAAGGAATTAATAACAGCGTTTATCACCCAATTATGAAAACATCAGAGGGAAATTACTAGCTACTTATTGATTCTGCCTGTTGATTCAGGATGGACCGTAGCCAGCATGTGGTCAGCTAGCTAATACACAGACACGTCCTCAGCAAGGCGGAGGAGAGGAGGGAATTCCTGCTTAACAGGGAGTGGTGAGGGCAGGAGGGAAGCAGCCCACAGTCTTTGGAGCTCTAGCCAGGGAGCAGAAGGGGGGCAGTCCTGCTGTGGAGCAGAGAGCCCTGCCCAGCCCAGAGAGCATGCTGGGATGCTGGAGGTGTCTGGTTTATCTTAAACCAGCAAAGGGTCTGGGACAGATGTTGCATAAACCAGGCTGAGCCAAATCAGTTAAGTCTGATACTACATTCAACCATGTTTATCTCAACCTGGTTTCAGCCATTTTCAAACTCGTTTACATGTACTGAACCTCTATTCTGTTACAGGTTTAAACCAATTTCTGATCACGTAAACCAGTTTATGTATAATGTCTATCCCTAGCCGAGATGCTGGCAAAACTCATAGCTTTTCCTTTCAGTGTGTTTTGGGGGCAGCAATGGCCTGCCTGTGACAGAGGGAAGTATGGGCTTGGGAGGGACAGTAAGAAAAGGTGGAGAGAATACTCGGTCTGAGGCGGGTTGAAGAGGTGGGTAGGGATGGGAGGGAATTTGGGGAGAGGGAAAGGAATATTATTTTCTTTTATGGAGATAGGGAACATGGAGTTGGGAAGAAAGAGTAGATGGGTGGGAAAGGGGGGAAAGTTTTCATTGGTCAGAGGCAGAGGAGTAGGAAGGGATGGGGTAAAGGTGGCTTGTTTTTGAATTGGGGGGCATGTTTTGGTCTCTCTCTCATACCTTAAGATTTTATTCTGTTTCTATAATTCTCATTGTCTTTTGTCATACTCTGTTGCAAGCCTTTTTCAGGCAGGGCAGTATATAAATTTATTACATAAATAAACACATACATAAATAAAATTGAAAAACAGTATTTTGATGACTACTACTATCTCTTTTCAACCTAAGTAGTTAGTACAGGAGACCCTCGCCATTTGCGGGGGATACTTTCTCAAGATCCCCACAAATGGCGAAATCTGCGAATACTGATAATAGGCTTGGAGACAGTCATTGTGATAACTAGCAACAGTAATTGTGCTAACTGATTGCTAATCAGTTGATCACTAATCTCCCTCTAATTTCTTGAACTCATTCCCTCACTCCTTGCTCTCTGTCTCATAATCAGCAGAGGTGGTGGCTAAAGGACTTGGGGGGTTGACAGGCGACGGTTTGCAAAGGAACATCATGATGGGAAGCTGTTCAGCCTTTTTCTGTAGGTCCTTATACATTTCTTGGTAAGGCATCATTGCAGCTTCAATTTCCCTCTTAACCTTCAGGCTCTGTTCCACAGAGGCATCATATTCAAACATTTTGTCAGTGAGTTGTTTGCTATATCTGAAGAGCTCAGCCAGTGTTCCTAAATTGAAATTAGGTCTTTCTGTCTCTTCATTTTAATTTTCATCATCTTCATCTTCACTATTTGTCATGAGTTTTGTTAGGTCCTCATCAGTCAGCTCCTCGGCGCACGAGTCCATCAGTTCTTCAACCTCTGATTCCTCCATATCCTCAAAACCCTCCCCTCCAACTTCATGGGCCATTCTCACAATCCTTTTGATCTCCTCACTGACAGATGGGAGACCAGTGAAATCGTTGATTGCTTCCTTCCACAACTCCCTCCAACAGGCGTTTACGGTTGATGGCTTTATTTCATCGATCAACTCCTTTACGTTAGTGATACAGTTAGCAATGTTGTAGTCCTTCCAGCACTTCCTAACATCAAATGTTTGATCACTTTTCAATGCATTATGAATTTGACCAAAGGTGCGCCTGGTGTAATAAACTTTGAAAGTAGCAATCACACCCTGGTCAAGAGGCTGGATGAGGGAAGTTGTGTTTGGCAGTAGGAAAACCACTTTCATGTCAGTGTGGGCAAATTGCAGACTTTGTGGGTGACCTGGAGCATTGTCCAAGACAAGTAGCACTTTGAAGGGCAGCCTTTTGGCATCTAGGTATTTTTCTACCTCTCAGATGAAACAGTTGTGGAACCAGTCCAAAAACAAATCAGCCGTGACCCAGGCCCTCTTGTTAGACCGCCAAAAAACTGGCAAGCTGTGCTTATTCTTGTCCTTTAATGCCCTTTGGGTTCAATGCGTGGTACAGCAACATAGGTTTCACCATGCAGTCACAGAGGAGAAGGAGAAGGGTTAGCCTGTCCTTGGCTGCCTTGAAGCCCAAAGTCTTCTTCTCTGCCTTGGAAAGGTATGTTCTTGCTAGCATCCTTTTTCAAAACAAGGCAGTTTTGTCTGCATTGAAAACTTATTCGGGATTGTAACCCCCTTCCTCAATGATTTTAAGAAGCTGTGGGGGACAATTCCATGCCGCCTCATCATCTGCTGACGCTGATTCCCCCATCAACTTCACATTATGTAGGCTGTGCCTCTTTTTAAATTTCTCAAACCACGCTTAGTTGCAGTG